ATAAAAATAAATATTGACAAATGCTGGCCATTGGAGGGCGCCACATCAGCGGATCAAGATTCAGATTTATATATATATATAGATTAAACTTAAAAAAAAAAAGCAACAAATTAATGTCATCATTGAATTTGTCAAATTTGAAATGTTGAAGGAGGGATTTTGATACTAGGAGTTAAGCCACATTTTTGTCATTGTTTTTTAAGATTAGAATGTGTTAAACTTTAAATATGAGAGTCTTTGAGATATTATCTCTAGTAAATCGAATATTAGGAAGGTAATTTTCTTAATATTTGTATTTAAAATAAATAAATATGTAAAAAATTTAGATTAAACGATAACATATATTCACACAATACTACAAAAAAAATCTCAATTTGTTAATTGAAAAATTATTTAATTTGAAAAGATCAATTCATAACAATATTTAAATGAACACATTTCACGATAATTCAAATATCTTTATAGAAGTTTGAATGACCAATAATTCAAATCAGAGTTGGTGCAACAATTACTCGTGTTTAACGTTTACGTTTTATATAATTTAACCTCTATTTCCCACAATTTATTTTTTAATTGCAACATATAATTTGGTCCCTGTTAGCCTATTTACTTTACAATGGTCAAGAACTTTGAGGTAAATTATTTATTATCACCTATTCTCATTCTTTTTAAATGTAAATAATTATATTCACATGCTTATATAGTGGGAAATCTATTATTGATTGAATCTTGATTTTTGTAAGCGATAGTATACTTTCTTTTACTCGATTTTTGACATGTTTAATTTAAGGGTAACTATAATAAATCGATGATCTAAAGTCAAATTTGAATGGAGGCCTAATTAAATTTAAATTGTTCTTTTATAAGGTTTATTAGCCGTCACTTAATTACGGTAGTAATGTAGAGTTATAATTAATTGATATGTTTGAATGATTGTAACATTTTTTTTGAGTACAGTCACGGGGTGTCAGTTTTTTAAAAGTCGACTTAACCTAGCTTCAAATTGATTACTAATTTGTAAGAAATAAAAATGTTATGTTATATAAATAATTTATTGATTTATTTTTATTTTTTAAGAAAAAGAACCGTACCAAATAAGTCTGTCTATAAAATATAAAGTTTACAAGTCAACATCATGTTATTATAATATACAAAGTTCCAACATCATTCCTTCTTGTGTTAAAAATTCAGTCAATTCTAGTATTTAAGAGTCGAACTCAGAATTTAAAAATTTTGGGTGCATCAATATAAACATAAGTTTAGAATATAAAGTTTAAGCTAAATTTAAAATAAAAATAAGCTTAAGTCGGGATTTGAATTCTGGTCTAGCGGGTGGTATCTCTACCTTCTACCAATTGTCCAAGAGCAATTCTATGTTTTTTATGGATACACTGCTGACTATATCTTACTTGTATTTCAAAATAAATATACATATGATTTTTTCGAAAATTACCTGGTGCACGTGCACCCCACGGCATAGTGGGTCGCCCTGCTAGTATGTCGAAAGATAACTAATAAGCTATTGGGGCCAAAAATTGACGTAATTTGTATAGATGATCTCAAACTGTTTACTAGAAAAATAATCATTTTGGTTAATAATTAAGTACAAGTGTATTAATAAGATCGGTCAATTAAGTTTATTTCTTTATTGGCCAAAACATCAAGACGAGGACTCTAAAAAAACCATCTATTAGCATCAGCCTAGCTATACTCTGAAACTATACTATATAATTACCTTAACAACAGCCAATTAGAAAAAGTTAATTAATTAATTAGAGTTGACACAAACACATATTATAATTATAATAAGAGCATCTATCTAAAAAAAATCACTCTAAAATGATTATCTCGTAGTTATTGAAAATGGAGGACGCATATTATTTGATGAATTAAGTAGTAAGAAAATCAAATATACAGTGGCAGATCCACCCATACGAAGGGGTCAAAAAAATACACTGGATCAAATTTTGATTCAATAAATATATATATATATATATATATATAGTATTGACACCTAGTTAAAGACTTAATCTAGTGATTAAAATGTTGTAAAAAATTCTTCAAGTTGTGTGTTCTGTTCCTAGTACTACAACATATCGACACCTCATAATTATACTTATTTATACCATAAACACCCCTTAATAATAATTTTGAATTCGATTTCAAATATAATTGTAGATCTTGAGGAGAAAAAGGATGATTGCCTCTTTGACAATTATGGAGATACCGAAAAGTTTAGTAGATAGTGTATAAAATAAAATACCTGATATGGAAAGAGAGGCCTGCAAATTAAATATTATCCTGATATAATAGTATCATCATTCATTAGCAACTACATCATAATTGAAATATAAAATAAGAGCTTACAAAAAGAGAGTATTATAAAATTCATCTGACAGAGATTTTACAACAGTACTATATTTTAAAAATAATTTTATTTATTTATTTATTTATTGTCATTGTTATATTTTTTTACCGCCTCTCCTTCTTCGAAATATATAAATATCAAAAGATGTTTTTAAAAAAAGTTATTTTAAATAATTTCATGATTTTTTTAGTAGTACAATCATTCTTTAATATAATCATTTTATACGATATAAATAATTTTTTCACATTGAATATGAGTTTTTTGATGTAAAATTTAAAACGATAAATTTATTTTTAATTTCTTTTTACAAATACAAATTTTACATTTTAAAAGTTAAAATCATGATTTGGTATCACAAATAATATATCTTTAGAAAAGTTGGAATTTGAAATCACAATGCTAGTCATATGTCACATAGTGTGTTTAAAATTATAATTTCATATCGCATACCTAACGTAAACTAATTCTTCCAAAACTAATACTACTACCTTATTACTACCTTGTTAGTTGAAGTGGATGATTATATTGGAGTTATTATTAATTTAATTAATACAAAAATTTGAACGATAATAAAATGTTATTATAACGAAGAATGTTATAAAATGTTTGATGGTATGTATAACTTTGGATCTTTTTTTTCTTTGAAACGATATATATATATATATATATTAATGTATATACACTATTACAATATAATATGAGCATCTAGAACCAATATTATTTTGTATATATATCGTTTAAAAATTTAATAACTTTGGATGTATTAAATTAATTTAACTATCACTAAATATTTTTTATAGCAACAAATAAACTCTAAATACATTTTTTTTAAAAAAAAAAAGTTATTACCATTACAAGTGATATCTGAGGTGACAATTATTGGTTGATGGGTACCAATATTAAAATTTATTTTTTAAAACTTTCGTACACCTATAAATTATAATATCATATTAGAGGATATTGTCGAGTATTATGCCATAAAATAAAACTAGTGTGTTATACATAGGCCAAACATATACGCAATCCCTCACTTGTCTTGTAGATTATTTCTTATTTTGAAATTCTATTTTATCCTTATTTCATTTTAAACTCTTAAACTCTATTCTTTTAAAATAAAATATCATTTTTATGATTTCTTTATTTTATTTATGTTTTTCGATCAATGTTGTCTCTTATTTTTAAAATCGAAGTGTGTTCATTAATATTCGTTTAAAATTAAAAATAAACAAACAAACATTAATTATTTTTTATTAGAGAGTTTGCTGTATTTTGTGTGAAAAAATACCATGCGAAATTTAAGACTTTTCAGTAGTGTTATTAGCAATTAACAAAAGTCTTTTCATTACTTGTATTGAAGATGAGTTTTTTATTTATTTGTATTGAGTTAAATTAAGAATTACAAACGAATATTTTTGTTTAAATTTAGATAGACGGGATGATATGAAAAAAAATTAACATATGTGATATTTTTTAATTTAATTGAATCTTTAAGAGAGAATATCAAATCACTTCCATCAATTTATTTTCATGCAAATATATAGAGAAATCTCAAAAAAAATTCAAATAAAATTGATATTCGTTCGTTAAATATTATTTTTTGAAAACGAAAATTAACAGAAAAACAACAATCGAAGTAACATAAAAAAAATAATAAAGAAATCATAAAATAACATTTCTTGTTTGAATGGCACATAAAAAAAATAGAATTGAAGAGTTGAATAAAATGGAATAAGACTAAGAAAGAGTGTCAAAAATGAAAAATAAGTACAAGTTTGAATGTTTGTGGATGTGTTTGGCCCCGTACAAAACTTTTACATGACAAAAATTATCCATATTTAAAAAATAATCAAATAATTGATGGGTCATGCAACTTAATATAATTATAATTTTACTATAAATATGAGGGCTTTGTTTAGTTTCCCTTGTCAATACTATTCTCTTAATTAACTCTCTTTTCTCTCAAACCAATGGCAATTTCTTCCAAGCTTTTTTTGTCATTTGTTTTAGCTTTCCTTGTTCTAATTTTTACTCTAGATGAAGCAAATGGTGCTATTAGTGGAAAAACTAGAAAATTAATTGATATGGCTAACAAAAAAGGACCTTATTTGGGATTAGTCATTCCTAATTTATTTGAGATGAATCCTCTTCTTCAACATCCTAGTTATAAACCTAGTGATCTTACCATTGATTATGCTGGTATTATATTAATTAAACTAAAACATATACACATTATTTTACCTTTTTTTCGATCACTTGCTTATCGATTATATATTTACGTTTTTTTTTAATCATCCCTAAGGGAGGAGATTTCGATTTGGACGCATTGATAA